CTATTCTGGGTGATATAATGTACTTAACATCTATTAATTTTTTTTTTAAGCTTCCAAATCCCACAGGAAAACTGGAAAGCCTCAGGCAGTCAAGTCTCCAATTAGGAGCAAAGTAAATATCAGAGTCTTCACGATCAGAATCGGAGAAGAGCTGTTTTTTTTTGTTGTTGTTGTTGGTGGTGGTGGTGGTGTTTTTAACAAATGCAAGCCAAGGGGAGACTGTCCTGGTATTTTCTGATGAAAAGTAATCGCTGATCCAGATCAGAAGGGTCATGGAGTGACTCAGAACTTGGTTTGAGAAAGATACTGTCCCTGCTGTCCTCCGGTCTGGGGCAAGGCACCTGATCATCCTGTGAACAGTTTTGGTGCCAACCAAGAAAGGCTTATGGGCTCCTTGAAAGCAGACACACTTCAGCCCATTTAGAAGGAAGCAGGAGTATCCTTGCCCATCCATTCAAACAGAAATAGTTCTGCTTGGCTGTCTGAATCCAGAGTTCCTGAGTGAGCCCTCCTCATCTGTAGATGAGATGAAATCATTTTCAAGTAGTGATCAACCATCATGTAGCCTTAAAAAACTGAAAAAACGGAATTAATATTATTTGTCTTCCAGACAGCTTAGTTTTAGGGGAACAAAGTTCTCATTTAGTCTTTTTAATGAATTCTAAAGAAAATAGTGTTTTACGCCCTCTTATCAATAGGCTCACAGTGAGCCCAAGATCTTAACACTGTTATACAAAACACTGGAAAGCACGACCCGGGGCCCATGCCTCAGTGGGACAGTGTTTTCCGTTTTGCACACGTACACGCTGGTAGATACTGCATCCATGCACACCTAGCTCTAACGTGGGATCACAGCATTCTTCAGTGGCAGGGGCGGGACCCACCTATGGGTGTGTGATAGCTGCATTTGCCTCTCTAAGCCGAGATTACTGCACCCCTAGATCCCCTGGGGCCAGGAGAGCCCCTACCACCGTAGTGAGCCTGCTTTGCCTGTGCTCTGCTGAATACTGAGGAGGCCACTGCTGTGTAGACGGAGGGAGACAGGCCTCATGCCACGAAGGTCCTGCCAAAGCCTCCCTGCCCCTCAGGTGGAGAGCCTCTGCAGATCACGGCAGACTCGGTGCTGGTGTGTTCTGTGAGAACACCCGACGTGCGTGTATGTGGTGTGGAGCAGGGGCTCAGCAAGCAAGACTCCCTCTCCTAGACCCAGGGCCGGGTGAGAGTTGCTGGATGGCAGAGGCACACTGCTGCTTTTCATGAGTAAGGACTGAGACTCAACATGGTCACTGTTCCTGGAAAGTGCTTATCAGGTCTACACAGAGCACCGCCCTGAACTGTCCAGGGTACACCATCTCTAAGAAGAGAGGAACTGAACTATAATCGCCCAAGTGACTCGTTCATATACAGTCTTGAAAAACACTCTTGGGATCACTCTTCGGCTTTTCCCAGCCCTTCTGCCTTTTGACCCCCAGGTTTTCCTCTCAGTTGACCTTGGACAACAGCTAAACCGTCCAGCAAGTGGAGTCTTTGTAGCACTTGAAGCACTTAACTGTGGTACTTTGAAAAGTAGACTTACTATTGAAAAAATTTCAGCTAACACTTTTTGGGAGTTAATCCTACCAGAAGTGTTTTTAAGATGGATTCTGATTTTTCTAAAATGGCAAGATACTTTATTTTTGAAATCTCGTTATTTTAACACTGCATTGTTAGGTGTGATTTTTGACATCCCAGCGAGGCAAAGCTGCAAACTCACCAGATGCCATTTAACTTATGGTGCATTTTGTCAGATCTTATTTTACACAGTATATGCATGCTTAATATAGATCCCACAGCCCTGGAAACGGTTAGTTTTGGGGATTGCAAAATTACATTGTCTGAGCTTGTGGTGCAAGTCCTATGATCCTAGAGATGTTAAGTAAATGGAGTTAGAGGGGCAGATCCAGAACCTCAGGTCAGGGTGTGATTCCACCTACCTCCTGGCTTGTGGCCTCAGTCCACACCCCTTTTACGTGGCTACCTCTCAGTGCAGGCCCCAGGGACAGGGTGATCTGGCTGGAGTGGATACCACTCCTGGAAAACCCAGGCAGGTGCGGCTGCCCTGATGGGTAGACCAGTTGTTCTCCAACGGACCACACTTGGCATCACCTGGGAAGCTTACAAAACACCTGTGACGAGGCCCCAGGGATTCTGACTCACTTGGCACAGGTTTCCAAAAGTTCCCCAAACAAAGCTAAGGTGAGGCCAGGTAGAGGTCCACTGGTGGGCTGGGGGAAGAGCCGGAGGGCAGGATTTGGAGTGGGTTGGTTATACTCTTTCATGTTCCTTTGGGACACTCACATCCTGGGAGAGAAGTGTACCACCTATTGGTGGCAATGGTTATGTGCCATTAGGCTTTTTGGGCACGACCTAGTAGCATCGGAGCTTGTTCCATAATGAATCTGAAACTTTGGTCGTTATGAATGTGACATGAGACATTTTTAAAAATCAAGGTTGCAATCTGATTGCCACTTTAAGATCCACATTTCTTATTCTTTGAAATTTTACTCTGAAATACATGTCTTCTGACAGGTATCACCAGAAATATACATGTATTCACATTTAAAAATAAAAACAGGTGGAATATACGTAGGTCCAAGGAGAATAACTAGTATTTATTTATGCATTAACTATTTTGGAAGTAAATTATTATTTTTTAGACGTTGATGAACCTTTATTTTATTCATTTATTTATATGTGGTGCTGAGAATCGGACCCAGTGCCCCTCACACATGCTAGGCAAGCGCTTGCTCTACCACTAAGCCACAATCCCAGCCCGGAAGGAAATTATGCTCTGTGTGTCTGGTTGGAAGTTCAGTCCCTGTTCCCAGGTTGATCTAACTTGTGTACCAAGATTTTCATGTCAAAATGAAAGAGAAGCAGCTTTACGTCAGAACCTGGCAGTCTGTCAGGGGCTGTCACTTGCCCTTGAGCCAGGCTCTGTGGGTTACTGGGCCCATTCTCCTACCTCACCTTTGGCTTGTGCCCTAGTTCTGCCTTGGATCATGTACCCTTTAGGACGCATATGCCGCGACCTTCCTGGGTACCCTGTCCCCAGGCAGCACTTCAATCTGTGTAATCTCTTGCAGTTTCTATTTGTTCCACCCAAGCTTGTGTTGGTTTTCAGACTGCTTGAGGCTGTGCTTTGGTGTGTCCAGCCTTGGCGAGTCTCCTGTCCTTGGGCAGGATCTGTCCCCAACTTCTTTGGATTAAGAGCAGGTCTGCAGCTGGAGCCACTGAAGTAGACCGAGAGGCCAGGCAGGAGGTCCGTGCTGACTTCTTGTCTTGGTTGTGTGTTCCCATCACTTGAGGACGCTGTCCGGGAGGGAGTCGGATGGGGGAAGGTGGGCCAGAGAGGCCTGTGTTTTCTCTGAGGCATTGAACTTGCCTGGTGACAGCGTGTGTAAAACGCATGTCAGGCCACCACGTACTTGTATCATGTTTGTGTTCTAAAATTTCCAGGCAAAGTGAATGAACTAAGCTAGCGTTAAGAGACCTAATGTCAAGTTCAGCTTTTTACCCCAGATGGAGATGGACCTAGTCCAGGCATGAAGGCATTTAAACTGAAGGAAGGACTGTTTGGGTTGAGACACAAGAGGCTGGCTAATGGTGATGAGCACTGGTTGTCGGCACTGGGTGGCCGCTTTGTTGCTGGGGAAGTGAGCACTGAGCTGGGCGAGTGGGGCAGGGGCAAGGAGAGGCCTCCAGACTGACATGGGGTAAGATGGGGTGGGCTGTAGGTGGGTAGGAGGGAAAGAAAGAGCACAGAGGACACTTGGGGTGTGATCTGATGGTGCTCCAGGACCTGTGGAGGCCAATGGGGGATGTTCTTGAGA